TCATTCCTGTACTTTTTCACTTTTGTGCATAGATGACTTAAAACTATTTCTTGTGTATACATCATCTACTGAGGCATATGATATCAGGCCTTCGGGCCTGCCTCTCAAGAAGTTAGAGAGATACCATGTAGTACTTTCCTTTGCAAAAAAAGATGAGATAAAGACACATTTTAATGAATTTCTTTGCATTGTCCCTTTTTCCCTTCTCTTGTTGAGTTCATAAGCTTTGAAAATACACACGAGAAGCTGTCGGACTTCATTTCCTCTATAGTAAGATCTAAATTTGTAGCCTTAAAAAAGGCTATACTACTAGCAATCACTGCTGCAAGAGTAAGAGAGCTTTGGCAATGGCTTCTGGTTAGCTCTAGGATTTATCAAGAGTATAGCCCTTGTGAAACACAGGTATTTATCTGGATACTGAATGCATTTCAGATTTTGTTATCAATTTGTAAAGATGTATAGCACACAAGCTTGATGGAAAATTCGCTTGATGTAGCGAGCTCTTGAATCAATTTGAAGAGACAGCCCACGACAGCAGATTATCTAATGGATTGTGCAGTTTCCTGCAGTTGATTTTCTACATCGAGAAGAGACCATTTTGATTAGTTCTTCTTTGGCTACCAAATTTAGATATTAATCCCTATCTACTCAAAACATGCTCTTCAATCTAGAAATGTAGCTAGGTCATACAATCCTCTGCACATTGTCCTTCATATCCATGTGCACCTTTTACATAGTTTTGTCTTGGGAGTGGAATTGCCGCTCCATTTTTGAATTGGCTCATGTTGTCACCTCCTTTCATCTCCCGTGTTGTTAAATGAATTTTTCTCTTCGGGGTGCCTGACACAGTGCTTAATTTGTGCCAGGGCTTGCCAGGGTTGAGCCCTGACACCGCTAGGCTTGGTAGTTCATAGCCCTGGCAACTTCTGGGCTTGCAGTATCAGTTATGAAGGGTAAAAAATAATTGCTTGAACCCCGGCACCTCTTTCATTACAAATTAAGCACTGACTTGACATTAGTTGTCCCAACATATAACCAGTTTCAGTGATCTAAAATAGTAACAAAGTATATGTTGGGTAAGAAAGGTAGAAACATAATTGTTAAGCAGAGCATAAAATCAGCTAGACTTAATATTAGGACAAGTGTAGTTAGCTCGGCTCTCAGATTTATTCATTTGGTTTAATTTGTAATCAACATTCTTATCAGCACTCATCAAACTTGCTATGGGCTCTCACAGTATTGAAAAACCCAGTTATCCAATCAGTAACAAAAATATTCTGCCCATGCACCTCAAAACACTTACTGATGTCGGAGGTGGTGTTCCATTGAGCCTGTATAGTGCCTAACATGTTGGAGCTCCAGTCCTGGGGCACCACCATAAAGTAATCAGAAAGGTAACTGTCTCAGCGTGGGTGGAATTAGTCCATAACATCTGTGAAGACTGATTAGGTTCACTACATTTGTACAGTCACTTGACTTAATCCAAACCAAGCATTAGAAAATGTAATGTATTCAGTTGGATATTAAATAGCCCCGCCTAGAATATGCACAGTTCTATGTATTGTGCCATCCTATATCTCAGAGGATAGAAGGGTGATAATTGACAAACTGCCTGTTTTGGTTGGCATTACTTTATCGTGCATAAGTGAAATTACATTTCTATGCTGCATATGAAATAACCCATAAGGGCAATCAGAGTAAGAACCACACATAATTTACCAAAATAAGGCATCAAATCAAAAATGATTGTAAAATACTGTTCTCTTCTTTGGCTGAGGCCTCTAGTCTGGTAGTCCTTTTAAAAATGAACAGTAACTTATTTGCAAAGCCATGCTCTGGGATCACTCAAGTATTCTTCCACCCCAATTGCTGATGGAACATGCAGTGACAATGCATTGGGTGGGGGAGGCAGGAATGGGGGGTTCAGGAGGTTGTTTGAATTGCCATTTTGTAGCACTCAGATTAGGAATGGATAATAGAGCAGTGAGAATGGTAGAACCCTCCTGTCAATGAGTGGTAGGACAAATTATTAGTGTAGATGGACATGTAATGGGACAGAGGTGTGTGTCTGGGATACCCGTCCGTACCTGCTCTGTTTGAGTGCTACCACTCTTATGTCTTAAGTGAAAGTAAATCTCAAGTGTTTCAAGTAGTCTGTATATCAGTGGAAAGACCCAGGGTGTCTGTCCCTGATACTGCTACCTGAAGGTTCAGGTTTTGCCCTGAATCAAGTAAAAATTAGTTTTGCTGTAATTGCAGATCTTTATTACCCGGCTGTAGTACTGCACAGGTAAGTGATTTGTATCGCAGAAGGACAACCTAACCGAGATTGTTTTTGTGTTAAAGGTATGTAATAGTGGAATGTGAAGACCAAGACACTCAGCAGAGGGATCCAAAGACTCATGAAATGTACCTAAATGTGATGAGACGGTTTAGTCAGGCTCTATTAAAGGTAACCCATCCCTTAGGTAATGAAAGATTAAGCAGTTTGCAGGTGTTTGCTTTCTTTAAAAAGACACTGTTTTCCTACAGTGCCCTGCCATAAGCATTACAGTCTGCCAAGCCACTTCTTCTCCCAGGAATTAATTTGATCTGCTGTAAATGATGTAATTGTAGTTCAAAACAAATGAATGCGACTATCAAGAAAGTATTTCCCTTTCTCTATTTGTTGCTTTTCCGATAAACTGACTTTTCGTATCGTACTTGCCTCTAGACCCCCTTGCATCTGGCAGTGAGTGTCTGATATTTGTGAGGAATATTTGGCCCTGCTTGACAAACTTGAGGTTGGATCACTAGCCTTTGCTGAATCAAGAAGCAGTGCCAATCTGTCTGTCAGCAGTAGAGGGTGCTGATGTAGTGAAAAAAGGTCCTTCTCCTGAGCTATAGTTCATAACTTCTGGCATATGTGTACAGCATTTGCTGGCTTAAGTCTAACGTTGGGTATCTTTCATTGTATTTTACTTCACATCTCACTAATGCTGCTTCAAGGTTTTTATGTGACTCATGTAGTACAAAGGCGTATTTCACATGCGAGAATCTTCATGAAACTTACTTTTTTCCTCCCTGTGAATTAGTTTGTCATGCATGAATGTTCACCACTCAAATTATTATTGTTGATGTAAATTGAAGTGCACTAAAAGGTCAGATAACTGATTGCCAGCTACAGCAATTTTGATTACATTTTACAGAAAATACTGTGCTTTGAATGAACTCTGAAATGAAAGATAATTGATCTTTTTTATTAACTTGGGAAATCTAGCTAGACTAAGAATAAATGTACAAATTTCAGATGTAATTATGGAACAAAGACCTAATTTTCTGTTTCTTTTTCATTCACGTAGGGCGATAAGTCTGTCAGGGTTATGCGTTCTTTGCTGGCAGCGCAGCAGACATTTGTAGATCGACTGGTTCATCTAATGAAGGCAGTGCAGCGTGAAAGTGGGAATCGTAAAAAAAAGGTAAATGCAGGAATAAAAACTTTCTGTGGTTAAAATTTGAGTACAATTGTGAGTTTTCACTGGAAACTTTTGATAAGTTGTGTAGCAAGATACTTCGAATTTTTCTAACGTCTTATTTAAGCTAAGCATTTATGTTAATATGCAGTGTATGCGTTTTGTTTAGCCTGAAGTATTTCAGCTCTTTTGCGTTTTTTGCCCTGAGCTATTCTAGTTCTGTTTGTTTTGGTTTCTTTGGTCACCTTTTGGACACACATATGGAAGACTAAAATTTCTGGGAAATCTTTTCTCAAAGATGCTTTTGATCAATTTATTTTTCCTCTTTAATTTATACAAATATAACTTTTGTACTCTCAGGAAGGTATATCCAGAATAGTGCTTTGGCTTTAAGGGTACATTGTTTTAGTTGGGGATTGGTCCTGCTTTGAGCAGGGGGCTGGACTAGATGACCTCCCGAGGTTCCTTCCAACCCTGATATTGTATGATTCTATGATCTACACAGCAGTTGGGAAGTGTGATTCCTACCTCAGGTAGATATACACGCACTATGTCTGCTTGAACTAGTGCCTAAAACCAGCGAGGTCATGGCAGCTGCCTGAATGTAATCCTGCCTGACCCCATCTCTGGGTATGTACTTGTGTAGCTTATGTTTTGAGGTTTTTTAGACAGGTTTTTTTACGCCTTTCTCAGCTATTAATTGTTGTGTATTTACTATGTCAGTAGTTTATCTATTTTTCCCCCTTCACCCTTTGGTGAGAGGAGTTAGAAACCGATAGGGTTTTTTTTGTTGTATACTTATGATTCTTGATTTTATTAGTCTTTTTCTTCCTGTGTTTTTGAGATATTTGACTGTATGCCATGTTCATTCTATTCATTTTATCTTTGTTACTGCTTGTGTCCTTCAGTCCTTCAATAGCATCGTTAATACCAGTTTCACCACCACCTCCTTTCTTCCCCAAATAATGTTGTTGTGCTGAACTTTTCATTTCCTTAGTGTATGACCCATTTTCCATAGCATGTACTAAATTACTTTTTAATACTGATTTGTGCCTGAGATTTTCGTATACATTTACATGGAAAAGTATGAATGCGCTATAGCATAAGCAAGACGCTGGAAACCACTATAATCCTAAATACTAATATAGATTGAGACATATAGACTTTATAATCTGATTTTAGATTTATCATTAGATCTTGTTATCATCTCCTTTTTAATCCACTTGAAAATCTGGATAAAAATCAGGATCTTGCTAAGAAAAAAACAAACTTTGCATCGTAGCTGAGCTTTCAGGGATCGTGGATACACATTGAAAATGTCTGAACTTTTATTACAAATATTAGCTGAAGAGCTTGATACTATATGTTCTAATCTCTATAGTGTTTTTTAGGTTCTAAGTATTTATGGTGTATGAGTTAAAATGAACAAAAACAAAACAAAAACTCCTTTTTAATATGTTTATTGGTTCTTTATACCAATAGTCAACAAGGCGCTTTAGTCTTCTGTGAGGTCAGTGGCTCCTTTCTAGATTCATTATCTCTTCCATAATTTAATTTTGAGCTAAATTTTGAGTCTTGGATATTTTAATATGCATTTATAACTTTCATCAAACCTGTTAAGTTGAATTTATTTATATAGCACAATGTTTATCCAGAAAATGGAATATATTTAGTCATGCTTTGTGTGATTGTATCTATAATACATGAAGGGGAAAATACATAATGAAAATTGGGTAATATGCATATGTTCTTGAAACTATATCTATTCTGCATTTCAAACAAACAAAAAACCTCTATGTGCTTCTGGCCTATAATCTATCCTACACATAAACCAGAGAGAAACATTTGTAAGATGCATTGTATATAGTAATTGCCTATATATTTCTATATAACACAAATGTGTAGGTTTGGGCTATCTTCTGGCCTGCAGCAACTGGCCTTTGCAAATATGCCCAGGGGTGTTTGAGCTAATATAGTGGCCCTAGGCCGCTCTTTGCCTCTGACTTAGGGTTACCATACGTCCGGATTTCCCTGGACATGTCCGTCTTTTTGGTACTCAAATCCCCATCCGGGGGGAATTGCCAAAAAGCCGGACATGTCCGGGGAAATAGGGAGGCAGCATAAGTCAGGGTCTGCCCGGCCCCAGCACAACCCGTCGGGTCCGCAGCGCAGCCCAGCCGCGCGGCTACATTGTAGCGAGCTCGGGCGGGGGAAGAGGGGCGCAGCCGCAGAAGGCGGCGAAGGGGCCACTGCTGCCCCCGGAGGCCGGGCGGACCACGCGCCCCAGCCAAGCCCGCAGGAGGTCGGGGAGGCCGGGCCCAGGCAGTGGCTCGGGCTTCCCTCGTGGGCGGGAACTCCCCGGCCACTGGGGGACCCTTCCTGCGGCTCCGTCACCCCGCGCGGCAGGAAGGAGGCTGCGGCGCGGAGCAGGGAGTGCAGCGTGTGCCTGGGCTGCAGGGACCCACGGTGTCCCGGTCGCCGCTGAGCATCCGAAGCCCCAGCCAGGCAGAGGCGAGCGGGGGAGCAGGGCAGACAGGGGCGCAGAGGCTGCAGGGGTGGGGGGAGTGCAGGGGCTGCAGGGCGAGTGGGGAGC